AATTTTTGCAATTTCTCTTTCTGGTGATGGCAAACATGAGTTTGCGAAGCAATTTTGAGAAATATGTACATAAGAATATGCTCATTTGCTAATTAAATTTGCAAAAAAATTCCATCGTTTTCTAGCAAAAATTTTGCAAAATTTTTGTTTCCATTCCCAATTATTCGAAATATGTAAAGTTTGACGTGGGTACGCCCAACAAATTGTTAGCAGTTCACAGTTATGTTATGTTTACAGTCGCTTGTTTCTTGCGAGGCACTCGCTACCAGCATATTTTGTCTGTAAACAAAAATTGTAGTGGGGTTTCGAGATATAACCAAAATATGCTAAATTAAAATTGTTACAAATTTTTTTCTGAAATTTAATTTTTAACCAAAAACTGTCAAATTTGGTATATACGTAGGTGTTTTATTATTGATTTTCAAAACGTATGTTCCGCATTGTTTCTGACCAAAATTTTGATGAAATAACAAACTTCAGATACATTTAGGATGCTGTGATTTTTTTCAGCTCTTTAGGTTAACATCACCACTAGCAATAAATCAGCAAACTTTACCTCGACGGAAAAAATGTCAGATTTGCAAATTAAATATCGTAGTGTGATTTAACTTTTAATGCTGGAAGGGCAATCGGTGTCGCAGATTTATGATCGCATGCTTAAAGTTTACGATGAAAACTGCCCAACACAAAGCACAATATAAATTGGGTCAGTAACTTCAAATGATGGCGAAAAGTGGTCTCGGACAAAAAGTCGCCAGGACGCCCAAAATCAGTTTCTTCCACAGAAAGGCTCCAGAAACTAGAGGAACCAATAATTAAAATGGGGCAGCCTATGCAGGAACCCCGACGGAGCTGCGTGCTGCGGTTGAAGAGAAACGTGAGGTCAAAATAAAGAGTTGGCCTTTTTTTAGACGACAACGCGCCAACAAATACCTCGCTGGCAGAGGTGGGCAATATACGTGTATATTGAATATACAAGTATATTATATACAGTATATAATATACTTTTTGTATATTGTATATTGTATCTTCAAAGACTTGAAAAAAAGTATATTGTATATTGTATATTGGACAAAAAACTGTCCAGTAAATATACAATATACATTTAGGTGTAAAATGCGTGGTGAATGACAAGAATGCATATTTTAAAGTTGTGCTGGGGTATATGTTAAAACTCGTTATAAGTTATAAAATCGTTATATCCGTTTGCGGGTGCTCTAACAATGAGTATATCAGGCTTCCTTGGTCCTTCCTTAGATTGTTATCAACATATTTATATAGTTCAAGATATTTAGAAAATACAAATAATTCTAAGCTCAACACTCGGACCAGTACACAAAAACCACTGATTTTTTTAACTATAGGTCCTCTCAAAGCTCTAAAAAAGATCAGATTTTTCTGCTCATCGCTCATTCTGATCTTTTCTGCTCGGCTGTGCGCATGCGATTTCGCTCAAAATCAGATTTTCTTGCTGAAGAAAAAAATCGAGTTTTGGGTTGATTCTCTCTCTCATAATCCTGCTCATTCTGCTCCACATCAGCACATCAGCTGTTTGTTTACTTAAATTTTTCATTTAAAAATTAAGCAGTTTTCTAAAACATATTCTTTATCATTATGGGTCCTAAGACCAAGGTTAAGAGTACCAGTGTCGAAAAAGTTGCAAATCCTGTAATTTGTCGTATAAAACGTAGCGTTGCAGAGGTAGACGGCAGAAAAACTTTTCGCTGGACACCACAGATAAAAATTGAAATGGCACATTAGAGAGTTAGAGATTCCTTGTACTTCGACTGTAGACTGTACTGTTGACTCTAGATGATGACGTCATCAGCTTTTTGTACTAACTCTACAGTCTACAGTAGACAAATTGAAACACGGGCTCAGTTTGTACTACTGTGGAAAAGTCAAGGGTTGGCAAGTAGGATATCTCAATATCTAAATAAGAACGCCTCAATATAATCAGACGCCGTTTTCGCCATTTTGCTTCTAATTTTTGACCCTAGGTCGAGTTCGAAGATGGGCGCCCTGTGGTCAAGGTCACCCTGGCGTGAAGTAAACGCAAAATTCTACCTTAATTTTCATATGCGGTATCATTTTAAAGGAAATTTAACGAAAAATTCATCTTCGTCAATACTTTTGACCTCCGACCAACCCATAACCAAGAGGACGAGGTCAAAGGTCAAAATTTAAGTGTCGACTGTTTTAGACTTGTGTTTGGGCGAGAATTTCAGAAATCGACACAGTTTTAACGTACGAAGACCCCGTGACCACGTAGACCAGGTCAAAGGTCAAAAATGTTTATTTTTATTTGGACCGTTGCAGACGTGTTTAGTTTGAGGCGAGGAGTTCAAAAATCACTATCATTTCGGATTACATCAGCCTGGTGACTGTTGTAAACGAGGTCAAGGGTTAAAAATATCGAATTTTAAGTTTTGAAATTTTAGACACACTTTGTGGAAGGTAGTTCATTTCGTATATCATGAGTTGATTTGTCTCAATTTTTGACGCATCTATTTCGCGGAGTTTTACAGTACAATTTGTTAGAGTACAAAATAATGGAAATTCCCTAGGTCTTTTGAATTTTGTACTAATTTTTGTATTGTACTGTAGTCACAGTACCGTACAAGTAAAAATACAAAAAATCTCTAAGTCTCTATTATGTCATCGACAATTACACCGCGTTTAAGGTAAATGATGGTTTGTTATCAACATGTAATTTTGTATGACCATATCCTTATCGCAAAAAATATTTGAGCAGATGACCAAACGCACGGAATTTCTTCGTCGTCTCCAAGATGCTTTGGCCCTTAACTGCGAAGAAAGTCAATTAAAAAATGATTTCTTAAAACGTACACAGAGATAAAAGAGAAGTTAACAGGTTTTGGGATTGACCCTGAGAAAGACGAAACTCTGGACAAAAGTTCGGTCGTTTTCCTCCAATTACATCAAATCAAATTATTTTCAATTTTCAATGCGAAGCCGAAATAAAAATACTGGAACTCAAAATTCAATTGGAAACTCTTAAATCTAAATCCTAAATATATGACTTATAAAATTGTTTATTGCTGCTGCATAAAATGAATTATTTGAGATAATGCTGTTCGTTTTAATTCTCCTGCAATTTTTTCACAATGCCTGTTGTTGAAACCCAGCCGTGTTAAGATCACATAATGATACAAATTCTCATATTTCTCATTCTCATGGCGTTCAGCTATTTTCGGAATTTTATGAATTATGAAACTGAATTTAAAACCATGAAAATGATAAATAAATAATTGAACTTCCCACAAATAAAGATCACAATTCTCAAGAATTATGATCGATAAAAAAAGTGGTCCGTTCAAGGTTTGAGCAGAAAAATCTAAAGAATAAAAAAGATTTTTTATTTTTCTGCTCATTGCTCATTTCGCTCATTTTTTGAGTCTTGAGAGCTCCTTATGTATAAAATACAAAACGCTCACATTTCCACACTGGAATCGATGGATTAAAGGTCCTCAAACCCGTATAATGATTCTGCTATAGGAAAGGGCGAACTTTTAATTTTGAGGCAATTTATAAATCAGCGATTTTTGGGTAGTGGTAGTGGTCCGACTTTTGAACTAAAAGTTATTTTGAGATAATCAAAAAAATAGTAGATTTGTTGAATTCTGCATGTTAAAAAAATCTGGAAGGAACATGCCTGGAACACCCATTATAACAAAGCCCCACATACGTTCACATTTTCATATTGACCAATTTTTGTCAATATTTTTCATTTTATAACGTTTTTTAATTATAATTAAGTGCAATTGTATTATGCAATGCAATTGCATAATTATGTAATACATTGTGCAACTGATAACGAAACTTGGCGTCCCACAATATGAGAAACCCGGAAACTTTCCCGACTCATAAGTTTTCATAATATGCATGACTATCTGACGATAAGTGAAAATTCAATTTAATTTTATGCTGGCGACTTTTGCCAGTCACCGCCTCAAAATTCGTTAATGTTCAACGGAAATTTTTTAACTGAATTATGCTTTGTATCTCATTTTTTGCAAAGTATATTGGGATTGTATATTCAATATACATGTATAGTATATTGAAGCTAAAATCCTGTATATTATATACGTATATTTGTATATTGTATATTTTAATTTTGTAGTATATTGTATATAGTATAGTATATTGAGACGAAAATTTGAGTATATTGACAAAGTATATTCAATATACATTTTGATGTATATTGCCCACCTCTGCTCGCTGGTTTCGAGGGCTGCTGCAGACGAAAAACGCTTCACCGTCATAAACCACCCCCCGTACAGTCCAGCCTTGACCCTTAGTGATTATTATCCGTTTCAAACGTTGAATAAAAGCATGAAGGGGAAACGATTTTGGGATGATAATGGAATCAAGTCGTAAATTTTTGCATATTTTCGAGGTAAATTTGGATGATTTATTGCGGGTGTTCCTTTTAACCGATTGAGCTGAAAAAATCACGACTTCCTAAATGTATTTCAAGTTTGTTATTTCATCAAAATTTTGGTCAGAAACAGTGCGGAACATACCTTTTGAAAATCAATAATAAAACACCCACGTATGTATGTACTATGCATGACTGGAAATAATTTCTAAACTAATTTTGAATTAATATGCTAACCAAATTCCTACAATTTACAGGCCAAAGATAAGCACTCATCCTTATCATTATTTAATGATACTCAGCAAATGAACTAGCGATTTGCATGCATTTATTTTGCATACCCAACCCATTCCAATAATAGCTGGATGATTTTTCATTTATATGCATAAAGATTTTAATAAACTGGCTTATCTTACCGACCTATTGTTAAAATTGTCAGTACAATAGAAAATTTAAATTATAGCATCACTTTATGTCGCAATTAAAATTATTTGTCATGTTTCACAGCTAAAATTTACAATCATGCATGTTTACAAAGCGTGTAAAATGTGTCACTTATACGCCCAGTATCACCGTTGCCCCTGGAAACCACCACCGTTTCCTCTACCGGCAAATATTTCCTACTTCAGCTGCTTAAATACAAAGAAAAAATCAAAACAAAAGTAAACCAGATTTTGGAAAAAGTTTAAAACTGTAACGACTTTAAGATAAGGGATCATACTTATACACTAAGTCGTTCAGTTGTACAAGATTATGTATCTCATTTAACATTTTAAACGTAAATTAACTAAATAAAGAGACCGATCGTGTTCAAAAACTCGAAAAGTTGAGGTAAATAAATACGTTTATTTTGAAATCGAGTCCTAAATGAAAGAAAGCTTAAAAATGTAAATACAAATAAATTTTTTAATTATTTTGCCCAGTCGCCGTTACGGGGGAGAATTAGTAAGTTCAGAAATTAATATTTTAAAAATTTGTTGCTGGAATTGGTAACCGATTAGTGGCGACGACGGAAACAGCGCTGAACTTTGTCGTGTGTATGGTTTAAATGAAGATATTAATGAAAATTAAGATGAAATTGGAACTAGTTTTTAAATTTTAGAAAAACGAAGTGGTGGGTTTGGGAAAAAGTAGAGTTTTTTAGACTTATTTATGATTTTGTTAGTTAATTTGAAATTATTAATTTGTAATCTGTAGGTCAACCAGTTTTTTAGAAAATTTTGAACCAGTCGATAAATCTGGAGTAGAAGAAGCCCAGAATATTTTAGTGTGCGTCGATTCCCAAGGTAAATTTTCAAAAAAGCAGAGTTTTTTTAGAATTATGCATGATTTGGTGAGCTAGTTTGCAATTATTACTTTGTAATTTGCAGATCGACCAGTTTTATAAGAAAATTTTAAGCTAGTTGATAAATCTGGAGGTCGACATATTTTAGGAGGCGAGGTTTTTAAAGGTAAATTAATTAAAAAGAGGAAAAATTGTTATTTTGTCAATCTTCGTGGTATTTTTTTATAAATTGATTGAAACCTTTAGAAAAAAAAGATTCCGAGATGAGTTTCGAGTACAAAGCAGAACCGGGTTATCGACCGCTTGGTGTTGACACCAATTCCGCACCACAAATAAGGATGGGAGGCCCTCCAATGTTTCCTGGCCGGCCGGAAACATTCCCCCCGTTGATGTATGATCGCCTTCCCCACAATCCAATTCTTGCTGGTGGTGGTGGTCCTCCCCAAATTCCAAATTCGTCGGCAACGCCAAAATATGAATTGTAAGTGAAGGTGGATTGAATTCGTGATTAATTAAAAGTTAATTTTCAAAAATTCAATGTTCACATCAACGTTCACGTCACGTCACGTCAACGTCAACGAAAGTAATGTAAAATCATTTCCACATTTGTAATCATTTCTCGGGTGTGGGATTTTAGTTTAAAATTCTGGACCACAAATTAATATAGTTAGTCGTCCCAAAATTTTTTAAAACTACACACTCCAGATTTTGACAGTTTTCGAAGGAGGAGATCTCAAGTTAAAAAAAGAGCTTCAGAAAAATTGGAACTTATCGAAATCGGTTTACCTTAATTTACAAAACTCACCACCATTCCAGCAATCAACTTACTACAAATTTGCCGTCCAGAATTTTAAAGTAAATTCCCAGAGCCAAGAAATGATTTCAGATGTACTGATTGTGATGATTAGTCATCGAGTCGTACATACGTTAAAAATGTCGCCTAATTATTAATGAACTTACCCTAACTAACCTTCCAGACCATCGCCATCCACCCAGCACTCGGACGACACTTCATCTTCCTCCTCCCGGGAAGAAATATGTCCCCACTGTTCAAACACATACACCACGAGGCACCTCCTGAACCTGCACGTGGCCCAAGTTCACGGCAAGGGAGGCAAGGGACGCACCAAGATAAAATGCACCCACTGTCCCAAATCATTCCACGACCAGCGAACTTTGCGAAATCACGTCAACCTTATCCACAAAATGGGCGGATTTGCCTGTACTGCCTGCGGCAAGAAGTTGTCCAACAATAATAATCGGGTAATTCATGAAATTAATGTATGCAAAGTGGTCTGGGAGAAGGACAAGATTGACGAGGCGGGCGTCAGGGTGTACCACTGCACATTTGACGGATGCGGAAAAGTTTGCGCGAGACTGAAGGATATAGAACGGTATTGTTTTTTTTAGAATTTTTGTACTCTAATAAAATTTTGTAAAAATTTATTCGGGGTTAAGTATGTAAAATAGGGTAAAATTTATTCAACTGTTGGACAAATTTTGTATAACGTTGGACAAATTGCGCACAACGTTGGACAAATTGCGGACAACGTTGGACAAATTTTGCACAAATGTTACCCAATTTGTTGCGTCATCCCCTATTTTACTCAAACTTGACTAAATTTAATTTTGCACATTTTTACTTTGAGTGTGCAAATTTTTTGTAAGACAGTGTCTAAATTTGGTCTTTATTTTTTTGCAGACATATGGACATCCACGTGCGGAACGGCAAGATAAGGACATAATGAAGGAAGAGATGTTATGAATGAATATCTTTTATGAAGTTGGAGGGGGGATTATCTGTATTCAGCCATTCAGGATTGTAGTATGAAAAAAGTGTTAAATTTATCTTTATCTTTACAAATGGACAGTAATTTATGACGTAATGAAAGTTCATCAGTTATTGTTTCTAACGTAAGACATCTCTCTCAATGTATGGCTTTGCAAAGCCGGACCGAAATCAGGATTTACTAGTACATATACAAAAATTTCTCATTTTTATATTAATTAGTTCCGATTAAATATTTGTAATAAATATTGTACACAAAATTTTGACCATATTTAGCATCAAATTCAAATTTACTCTAGATTTACCTATGGGACACTCATCAGAACACTTTTAAATGCAGAAATGATTATTAACTAATTTAATGTATTAAATTGTATTCACATATTTGTAATACCCTCGCATTTCTTGAAATTGAACTGAAAGATACATGAACGATACGTCTCATGATGTCTCATACGTCTAATTGACGTCTGTATGTATGTATGCTTATCATTACTCAGATTTTACATTTGTCTTGGCATAAAATATCTTGATGCAATTGTAAAAAAAGACTATTAAAAAGTCCCCTTGATTTACATATCATTATGATTGTATGAACTTGGTTACACAATTAAAATATTTAACAGCAATTAAACTAGTCTGGGTTTCTAATTCCCTTGTTTCCAGTTTGTGTACCGTGCATTAATGAAGTTGATGGAAATTGGTACGTATATTTTAGACCCACCAACTAAGGATAAGTCCGCGGGATAAGAGCTAAGTCCGCACCGCAAAAATAAGCCCCTTATTGTACCTCAACCAGATAGACTTTCGTTACCTACACAATTAGTGCACGGTCCATTGGGAATTAATACCAAACACTCAATTTCTACATAAATATATGAATCATGGATACGAAAGTGCTACACAATGCAGCAGTAAATTGGTGAACAACTTCCTAAAGAAATTAAGTGGAGAGCAAATGCATATAAAATTATGTAAATATGTACGTAATACAAAAGTATATATATATATGTCTCCTCCACTTTCAAGCAGATCAGTCCAGATTTGCTTCAGCAATCAAAGAATTAATATCATTCTTGACATCTTTAAAAAAATGAAGACTTTCAGTCCCATCTTTTTGATCCTCGTCTTGGTAAGTATTAATGTAGGACTAATCAAACTTATCGAAATCAAAATTATCAAAATTAGTTAATTTTTAACCTTTTTTTGTCTCTGAGAATTTACTTTAAAATTCTGAACGGCAAATTTCTACTCTCTAAGCGGATTAATAGAACTTCGGTGCGGTTTTCTTTAAGCCAGTTTCGATTAGCTCCAATTTTTCTGAAGGTTTATTAAACTTCAAAATAGATATTAATCTTCAAAATCTGGGGTGCACGTATTTTTGTAATTGGCAATAACGTCCTCTTAAAATTTGTTGTTCAGAAATTTAAAATAAATTCGCAGACCGGAGAAAATATTATAAACGTTGTGATTTTTACAATTTTGGAGATAAGTCATCATTAATCTTGTCATTCCATCTGTGCTCAACTTATTTTTTTTGTAAATTAACAATATTCAGGAGATGGTTCGTGCTCAAGGGCTTGACGATACCAACGTCCCCATGGACCCTGCAGCTTTGCTCGCAAACCAACTAGAAACCTGGGACAAGTTGAGATGCAGGTCGGGATTCCAGTCAGTCCCGCCCGAGCTAGTGGACGCCACCTATCATTGCAGCAGTCAGAGGGGGCATGAGAAATTATCCACAAAAAACTTTACCGCAGACATTGTCGACTTTGCAGGACCAACGTCATATCTTGTAAGAATACTATCAGTAATGGATTATGGAACACTTTTTCAAGCTACATACACCGGGATTGTGTAACGAGTTATATCAAAAAATCAAGCCAAAAATTAGGAACCACGGGGCGCATTCCGTTGGATTGTCCAAAAATTTTGGGGGCAAAGTACTTAGCCACGATCGCCTTAGTTTTCGCCTCGTGGAGGGAAAGGGAACGAAAATTTACTAAAAAATTGAACTTTTCCGCAAATATTTTTTATGAAAGGTGCCATTCAACGGAATGCGCCACGTGGTTCCTAATTTTCAGCTTAAATTTTTGATATAACTCGCTAGACAAAACCAGCGTAGCTTGAAAAAAGATTCCATTGTAAGTTTAACATATGCAAGATCTGTAAGAGAAGAGACATTTATCTCGTAATTTTGTGTGCAAATTCTCACTAATTGTAAGATTTTCATTTCTTGGTACCTTATTAGCTCACCCTGCGTAGCATGAGAGCTATTGAATTCCTCTTGTCCGTCTGTCTGTCCGTCTGTCTGTTAACGACCTTTTTGCATCAATTGATGCTAATTAAAGTGTCCCTGGTCCATTTTTTCATAAATTAATAGCACCGTTGGTATCTGACAATCGGAAACCCCAAATGAAGCGAAAGAATTGAGGGCTTTGATGCATAACGCACCAATAATGCATACTACTCGGCGGATTTTATTAGACAATTTTGACATAAATTTTTCAAAATTATCCTTGAGCGTTGGTAGGTAATTCTGCACCAGTGATGCACAATTTTTGGACTTTCCTCGATGCATAATAATTATTGATCTACTTTGTTGGATTTTTCTGCGCCATTGGGGCAAGTTATAACCACATCATTATTACAGGGTGAGCTACTTCTAACGTTGCTACAGTTTATTTATTATTAGTGCCTTCGAAGTTGCATTTTTTATCAATGCGGCTTCATAAACGCGGATCGGGACGGGATCAACGAGACCGCCCTGTGGACCGTCTTACTCTCGGGTTTCACTGGGTCGGGAGGAAGCAGAGCGTCCTTTGTGCTAACGAAATCCATCGCGGAATGTGCGCTAAAAAGTGAGGTCTTAAATATGATAAGAAACTATAGAATGTTTCCCATCGTCAATTGTCGAGACGCTCAGAGTGAACTGACTGCTGTATTAATTTTTATACAGATCCAACCACATTTCCAAAGGAATTTTTTAACTGTGAAGGGACTGGCGCCTTCTTTAACTGCTATCGACAAGCGTTGGTATGTCCCTTGATTTTATGCCTTGCTGAATTTACCTTTTAACTTTTTCTTAACCTCCTTCGTACTTACTACTGATTTTTAAATAAAATTTCTTTTGGGGCCATGTCGATTTCGTAATTAAGTAGAATTCATATCAACCAATCAAAATTTTCATGATTTCCTCTAAAAGACGAATATTTATTTAGACACGTTTCCAAGTTTTGAGTTTTTGGAGGAAAAATATGAAAAAATCAACTTTTTAACATTGGTCAGTATAGTGAAAATTCCAAAATTTGCGAATAAAAATATCCTAAATTGATCCCCGAGTTTTCTATTAAATATTGAAGAAATGTTCTTATTTTTGGGAAACTGATTTAATTTAAGCTTACTTCGTCCTTGAGAGGTTAAGGCATGTATCAACTCACAAATTTTTATTTTTACAGAAAAATTGTGAAGACAATGATAAATATGATGAAGAATATACTTCTCATCTCGGAAACAAGACAAAGCAATCAAAACATTAATTGCCCGAGAAAAAATCGTTAAATTAACTGTTCCTTTACGCAACTATGTATCTATGTATATTGATTACAGTGAATAAATACATACATACGAACTCTGAACTCAAAGTGCAGATCGTCTAATCTTTTCTTATACTTTCTCCAATTCAACCTCAGAATATTTCATTACAAGCCATTATCACTAACAATGGAACTTTTTATACCAGGATTATTTGGCAAGTTATATTTAAAAAATTAAGCCACAATCCTGGAGTAGCTTGAAAAAAGGTTCCATTGTAAGTTGGCTCAGGCATTGGTCTGCTAGCATGTCGGCGACACGTAGAACGGCATATGTATACATACATCGGTTTCGGTTCTATAGGCCCTGACTTATGCTGAAAATATTACATGTCGCTGTGACAGCTGTATCTAAATATGTGTCTAAAAACATCCTCATGACCATGCAACCCAACCAACTTTAAATCATTATACATATGCAAATTTAGTTCACCTTCCGGTCAGTGAAGGTGGCCTGGGGGTCAGGCATGCTGTAGACGTGGCGATTCCGTGCTTCTTAACGTCCGCTTACAGCGCCCTGCCCCTCGTTGAGCGCCTACTTCCGCCATACCTACATGGCACCAACACCGCACAGCAGGAAGGAGAACAGAGGTGGAACCCCATGGGACCGGCGGAACTCCCCCCGCTCGATGTCAGGGGCATTCAGGCCACATGGGAGAAGCCTCAACAGGAGACCGCCATCAATCAATCACTCAAAAATGGTGCACCAACACCGGAGGATAAAGCCCGCCTCCTTGCTATTGGACAACCGCATGTGGGGGCGTGGCTAAATGCCATCCCTTCGCCACAACTTGGGACGCTACTCCCAAATGAGACTTTCCGTGTCGCTTGTGCCCTTCGTCTTGGTTGTGACGTCTGCCATCCTCACAAATGTCCATGTGGAGCGGAGGTCACATCAAAGGGCTATCATGGCTTAAAGTGCAAGAGGAGTGCAGGTCGTTGTTCGCGACACACCGCTGCCAATGACGTGATTTGGAGAGCGCTCCGATCTGCCGGAGCCCCAGCCATCAAAGAGCCACCAGGTTGCTCTCGACAAGACGGGAAGCGCCCTGACGGCCTAACACTAATCCCTTGGGCGAGAGGGAGACCCATGGTATGGGATTTCACATGTTCGGACACCTTCGCACCATCCTACCTCCCTCAAACCTGCATTCATCCTGGTGCGGCAGCCGAGAAGGCGGAGGACGCCAAAAATAAGAAATATGAATTTCTGCAGGACAGATTCCTTTTTGTACCTGTAGCCATTGAAACGATTGGAGTGTGGGGCAAGGAGGGTCTGTCCCTTATTAAGGAAATCGGATCAAGGATCACGATCGTCACAGAGGAGAAGAGGGCAACAGCGTTTCTTTCACAGAGGATGAGTATTGCAGTGCAGCGTGAAAATGTTGCTGCAATTTTGGGATCTCTTCCAGCCGGACGAGAGCTGGATGAGATATTTTTACTATAAGACGACGGAGTAGGTTAAGGTTTTTTTTTTAATTTCAGATAGGGACGATTTTGTAAGACGCTGGTCGTTTAGCTTTTTTTTAAAATATAAGATGTAACAATAAGTACTATACTCTGCGATACAATTCATACTCTTAATGAATAATAAAACGTTGTTCTTTTTGTTCACCATTTAGCTTAATAAACGATTGTGTACAATTTCCTGCAATTATGTATCTGTATTCAGTTATGCACTTTGCTTAGACATTTATGTATGTATGTCCGTTTTACATAACTTCCATTGAGTCAGCACTTGAAAATTCGTATAGTACAAATATTATTTCAAGGAATTCGTATGAATAGATAATCCAGATGTTGGTACATAAATGCTTCCTGCCATAATAGGTACATATTTATATCTGGTATGCATACATACATACATGCATAAATTAAACAAGTTTATAAACTGAGGATAGTAGCACCATTCTTAACTGGTCTCTTAATAAGAACATCCATTTAAAGGTTAAATTTCTGAAATTAATATTTTTTGGAAAATGGAAAAGATTGGAAATTTCATTCTGCGGGTATGTCTAACCGTAACGTTCCTTGTGCTTGCTGCAGGTATGTAAATATACATTGCAAAAAATCTGTATATGGGTGTTAAACGCGTGGAGTAGTTATTATCAGTTAAAATAATCTAATTGTATTATAGACGCGTGGTCCTGCCGAGAGCTTGGAGCTCCACGTGGTGCACTTTGCATGTATCGTTATTGCCCAACCGGTTGGCGAAGACTTTTGTGGGATACAGGGTGCCGGGACGGTCAACGGTGCTGCATAGAAAATAGTTCAGTGAATAAATACGAGGAAAATCTACAATGCTTAAACACGTTTAAATATTTCTTAGATTTTGAATATCCTGAACTAATTATGTATTATGGACTTTTTTATTAATTGGACTATAAATTGTATTCGCAGAGTATGCATTATGCATATATTCCATTTTGTTTAAAAAAGCTAAACGACCAGTTTTGCACAAAATGGCCCCTATCCTTTAGGGACAACTTACTTCCTTCCTTTATTTGATAGATTTGTATGCAAATACATAAATTAAAGCCTAGTCAAGAGTAGGTCCATACATAGATATAGGTAATCTTAAAATGTAAATACAAATGTGCAAGCCGATTGCAATTTGTAAATGAAGAGTCATAATCCAGGTACATCGATGGTTCTGTGACGATATATGTATTTATTTTTGAACCACGATCATAATAATTATTGATGTATGTAAAAGCGTGACATATTTATGTTCAAACAATTTTTTACCCAGGATGTTTTTAACTTTTCGAAATTACACCTTATGTTTGCATAATTTTGTGATGATACATGCATAAATAGCAGTAATAGCACCGTCTGATGAATGTCGTCTACTGTTTTTTTGGCTTCTGAAGTTCTGATACATATTTTTACCGCGAATCCTACAATAAGTAAATTTTGAAGTAACAAATTTTTTATCAGGTACATAATGTAATGAGTATTTGTACGGCCACAACAACGCTTAAAGACAGTCAAATTCTTACTTAAATTCAGAAAAAAACAGCAAACTATCTATCTCATTTCGCGTCTCCACAAATTCCTTGGTAAATAATCCACTAAGCGACATGCAGGGTGCCAGGGTGGTTTAAATGTCTCGGTACAACCGAAAATTTTTCAATGGGAAAAGCCTCTAAATCTCCATTAGTAACAAGCTTTGGGATTGAGATTTTTATTAATTATTTAAAACTGATGGAACACTGATGACAAAATTCTTAAGATGTTGAACCCCACAGGCAAAATTTAAACCGGTAACTAATGGAAATTTTCGAATATTTCCCATTAAAAATTCTTCATTGTAGCGGAATATTTAAACCACCTTGTATAAATATATATAACATGTACATTTAGCGATTCACAGGTAAACATTCATACATATTTGGCACGAGGGTGCAAACTTTCAGAGTTTTAAATAAACTGTACATCAATTTGAAAATTAACAAAGTTTTCAGGTCGGAACATGTAAATTAATTTTATTCAGGTCACGAAACATGCACATATCCTACATAGACAAGCGTCATTACTCCAAAGGCTCGGCAAATCTTGACGTTCCAAACGCAAATCCAATTGTGCGTACTTTTTTCTCCTCTTGGAAAAACATCTTGGTCATATTCTCCGCCAGCTTATCCACCGTGTTTTCTTCCCCAAGCGATACTTTCACGTTAAGTTCCACAATTCCATTTAACGGAATATTGAACGATGCATCGTAATCCGCAATATTTTTTTCCTCCTTAACTTCCACAATTTTCACGTCTGCCCCCAAATCTCGTTCAATCCTGTCGAACACATCTTTTACGAGATCCTTCATATTCACCTTGACGCCAAGGGCCGCATTCGCCGAGACGATGGCGCTTGTACCGGCATAAATCCAAAATTTGGTGGCATGCAAAATTTCCAGGGAACGCTCATTCTTGAAATTTCGCACTTCCAATTTTGGATGATTGTTTAATGAGGGGACCGTTAAGGTTAACCAAATCTTAGGGTTTTTGATACCATCTTCCGGAAACGCGTGGGAATACAGGTCTCTCGGGAGGGGGGAAAATGGGAAAGAAAATCGGTACGAATTAATGGGATCCGTTTGAGCGACAAACATAAACCGGCCGATTGATTCGGCCGTGAATTTCTTTAAGGTGTAGACTTCATTTTCATAGGAGACTAAAATCCGCGTTAAATTGTAGTGTGGGTTAGAAGGTGGGAAAATTTTACTGGTTTCGAAAGGGAAGTTTTTTCGGTAGGGGGTGTGATTTATGCCAATGACGCATTCTGACCTGTCCTCACCAACGGTGGTCCAGCGGTTGGGTTCCTTTTTCTCGAAAGAGAGCCGCATTTCGTCTATGTTTTCGAGACCTTGGAGAAATCGGAAGATGGCGTTGACAATGTTGTCTGATTCGGCTTCTATCCCGGCAGCGACGGCGATTAGGTCGAGGAGAATGGTGAGCCCAGGAATTTCGTGGGGGCCGAGGTACATGTTTCGATACCAGAGAGTGCAGAGGCGGAGGGACTGTAATATAAGTTTGATTATAATTTGAAAATTATGAGGTAATTGAATTTGTGACATGGCCTTGGTAAAATTGTAAATTCTTTAAACTCACAATCTCTTGCAAAATTTTCTAAAAATGATATTTATAGGAACATGCGCTTACAAATTTTTGAAAACTGATTTTACAAGGCTCTACGCCCAAGGGTTGTAGAAATCCTAAGTCCTTATTTGACGATACATACATATTTATGTATTATGAACCTAGAAATGGTTTGATTTTTTATGATTTTTTGGGGGTTTTCATATTTTTTGATACTTTTATGACTCTTTGTTAAGCTCGCCCTTAGGTAGCTATCTGATCATTACAGCTATATTTTGGACAATTATGTATGTACACAGAGAAAAAAAGATTTTAGAATCTAGAATCTAGACTATCCTCACCTTTCTTACGAATGGTGTCTGTTGTGCTAAAAATTTCGCGTGGGGCTCATAAAGAGCGTTGATGATATACACGGAATTTTCCGAGTTGTCGTTTCTCTTGACAAATTCCTTACTGCTTTCTCCCACGTGGAGTAGGTTGGGAATAAGTTGTATTTCAGCTTTGCACGTGTCATCCCAGACACGAATGGAATTTCGGGTTTTGACTAATTGGGAAAATTCCCCAAATTCTTTTCGATGCTCGTTAAATATTTTTTCCCACTCGGATAAAACTTCTTGATATGATGGTATTTCTTCCAGGGTGACAACAAAATAAATTGAAGGGGTCAATATTTCAGTGAAGGGGATACATGCTACACTCAGGGGGGCGAATGCGCTATATTTCTTTAATTTTGGAAGCAGCACCTGCAAGAAAATATCAATACTCTATTAGCAATCTGGTATAGTCAGGCATGGATTGATTCCTTGGTATTAAAGTTTTTACTGCTTGGTCTTAAATTTGTACTTGTCGGAGGTCTGTAAAAATTTGCCACCGGCCTCGTAAAAACTTTAATTTGAGCTGTTACTGCACCGTATTACGGAACAATACCACTTTGCTTGAGCAAAATATGAATACCGCTTGGTGTTATTTTTATTCTGGATTTCTAAGAGTGCCGTAATTAATAAATTTAGACAATGTATTAATCATATTTATGTAAATACATATATACCTCGGTCCCGTATTTGCCAAGATTCTTGACAAACTCAGGGTCAGATTCCAAGAACAAGGAGATATTGTTCAAAACTGTGACGAAATTCAGATCCTTATAGTTCCCTTCTTCATATTTTTTAGGGGACCAGATCTCATGTGATGCTACACCAATATGATTAATTAAAGGACTTATAATTCACCGAGTATTTGGAAGTATAATTTATATATAATCAAACCTACCAACAAATTTTGCTATATCCATCTTTTTTCTTTGGGAAGTAAAAATACAAAATTGTTGCTCAAAAAATTTCAGCGGAGAAAGTTTGAAGGCCAATGCCATTAAACATACATGGGAACTGGGTAAAGTTTCAGGTTGAAGACGAAAGTCGACTTGCGGGTCGATATTTCACCCGGCTTCCGACACCAATGCATTCGGAATGCACAGTTATTTAGATGTACATACTTTCTCCCTGTTGCTCTGAATCTGTGAGGAATTTAACGTACCGGCAAGGATGCGAAAAAAAGCTCAAGAATCAATATATTTACATACACTTAATAATATTTGTGTTGTTTAAATCGGCATCAGAGGACATATTGGTTGAGAGATTTATATTATCTTGCAAGCTTTCGAATATTATGTACATACAGTAATTCTTCATCAGGCAAAGTATAGTCGACAAACTAAAAATCATGTCAAGACTAAATTCAACTAGTTGAATTAGTAAAAATATATAAAGTTGTTTGTTCATACATGCATGGTTACATTGATGGTTTATAAAATTCTTCATAATATTAAAAATATTTGTACATGTGTAAATACATACAAAAATTAAATACTTCATTTGAGGTTAAAAATTGAAATAAGTTGTGTACTGTAATATTTAATTTGATAGGCGTACTCACTATGCGAAGCTACAGAAATGCATGAAAAATATATCAAAAGCGGTGTTTTTATCTATTTGATGTATTTAGATTTGCGATGCCAATGTCATTTGTCAATTATCTCACGACCACTTTATCGCAAATTTACGAAGCTCATGTTCATATAAATATGTATGTGCACATACATAAGTATGTAAATATGATTTGTGTGTACATACATAAATACTGATTTACACTTTTCATACTTCACATACTTGAATAAGGATGAGTAAATCCATGCTGGAGGACAAATTGTATCTATATCGTGTGTACACATCAGTACGTGAATGTATGCAGGCTCCTTGTCGTTTAATTAATGCAATTGTTGTCTTACTCAAGCTTATTATTGGTAATTGGAGATTCTATATGCGATTATATAATTTACTTGACAAATACAAATCTACACACTCCTAGAAATCCAGTATTAAAATTATACCAAGCGATATTCATGTGTGTCAATATTACCCTACCAAAGTCGTATTGATACGTAATACGGGGCAGTCACAGCTCGGTATTAAAGTTTTACCATATCCGTAGCAAATTTTTACGGACCTAGATATATAATTTTAATAAATACCACTCGGTATGTATGTAGCAGCTTTAATACGGAGAAACCAATACCTTCCTGACTTTACCAGATATGTATCTAACAGTGCTTATACCTTACTTTATACTAAACGCGTCGCGCATAGGTTTAAATAAAAATATTCTTAGCTTGAAAAGGTTAGGTTTCTTGCCTAAATCACTCAAACTATGTTTCCACATGTGCCAAAAAGCTGAGCAACATACTAAACAAATAATTCCAGTTGTTACATAACTTATTACTTTGCTTACCAGAATCTACCTGAACCTACCTCAAGTTTGTTTTAATGTGCCAGTTAATTTGGGTACTTTTTCCGCTGTTTATGGAGCCCTGGTCTTTCATACAAAGTATGCCGTGCAATATGCATTTTCGTAACCTTCGCGTAAGTATTGCATCGAGATGAAATAATTTGTTTATTTCTAACCAATTTTTAAAAACTGGGTAATAACATTTTTTCCTGCTTTTGATAACACTCCTCACGTAATGACGGGGTGCTGAAATCAAGAAGCCTCCCAGACTTGCATAAATTAGCAAAGTAAAATTAGTATATAAACGAGATATCTTTAGTTACTGACTATTACAGTGCAGAAAATTAATTTACCGAGCTGATATTATTTTGCAAGGCAAGATGGACGTTACACCAGACGTGTACAGCAAGGGGAACTCGTTTCAGTTTGAAGAAGGCAAACACTTAATTGGACAAATTTTATCCGATTTTCCAACAAGGTAAGGAGATTTTATTCAGCCTTCCGTCCGTCTTGCGTTCGGAATTTTATGAACATTATGTGTCTATTTAATTTGTTAAAAAGTTCGTACACAAAATGTCCCGTACGTGAAAACTGAGTTCTTTAATACATATTTTCCCACGAAAGAAAGCATGACAAATTGTAAAATTATTGTGATTTCTTCATTGAGAAAATACTGGAATTTTAAGATTATTATTATTCACTCAATAATTAATAGTTTCAGTTCCTTGGATATTTTCTGAGAGGTTATTAAGTTTTTGAAAATAATTAAAATTATCTGCCTGGAAACCTCTCAGATTTTTTCCAGACTATTAACATTGGCTGAACAGTAGTTGAAAAGTTTAGCTGTAAATTTACGAGAATTTTAATCTTGATGACTTATAAATATACATTTTTAGAGAATTTTGATTTCCAATAAAACAGACTGCAAATTTACGTACAGGAAATTTCCCATAATTCTGGACATTGGTTCTGGATCGGGAAATCTGACATGTCACATGGCCCAACTAATTCCACACGAGACCATCATCGGCATCGATATCGACCCGGCTATGATCGCATTTTCCATAAACAACAAACCCACCCTGGAAACAATTAGCTACGTGTGTCAAGACCTTTCCCAGCCGTGGGACCAACTTTCCCCGGAATTGGCCCGACTCGCCGGACACGTGGACTTAATCATGTCGAATATGACGCTCAACTGGGTCATCGATATTGGAACAATGTTCAAGGTTCTCGTTTAGTTAACGATTCTTCGTTATGAAACCAAACCAAATGCAAATTGTGATCGACTATGCAACATCATAATTCATGGATGTGAATATTATTCTGCCAAAACTGCAATGGAGGAGACGACAGATTTTCTTTCCAATTGTTTGGAAGTGGATGTCACTTAAAAATGCCCGTCCGTTGTCCAACGGTAAATCAGTGCTGGTGAAATTGGCATCAACCAAACAGAAAAGTATGGTGTTTAGAAACTGCCACAAGTTAAAAGCCATCCCTGCCAAAATCTCAATTGTGGAGGACCTAAGTAAAGACGAACGTGAAAAGAAGAGACGACAAATACCAGAATTCCTTGAGCAAAAGAAAATTGGAAACAAAGTCTACTTCCGAGGCGCCGACCTGTTCGTGAATGGGACTCAAATCACCGAAGAAATTAGAATTTCACCCTATCATTGCCATTCAGTCACAGCCCAAACTAAACCTACGGAGAAGACAGAGAAATTGGACCACGCCAAGTGTGGACAGCCCCCTGTAGAAAAAGACGTTCAACCCGAAAAAGACGATCAACGCGATACACATTACTTGGAAGGACCACATCTCAAAGACGTTAAACGAAGCCCAAAATTATCTCAATCAATTTCGGATGACGGCGTAGCCTACATACTTTCAATTATGGATGCCAACATGAAATCACTGACGAGGGAAATGGATGCTTGCCTAGTGAAAATGGATAATTTCAGAATTGGAGTTTTATGATTTTCTTATGAGGACTTGAAAAATGGAGATTTGCTATGTGTAGTATTTAATGGTTTTATTTTTGCAGTTATTGTCATACGAATTAGCATAATCGGTTGATAATGTGAATAAGATTGCAATTTAATTTTTAATTATGAATTTAATTTTGAGGATCTGCAGTTAACTGACTTGAAAATAGTGTCGTTCATGGAGCAGTGAATACTGACTGTTTACTTTTTACGTTTATAAATTATGCTGTAGTATTTAATGGTTTGATTTTAGTAATCCACCACTTTGAGTTATTTGATTTGTTCAATTGAATTCGTTCATATTGACCTAATTAGTTGAGACGAAATTCTGAATAATTAAGCTCTTATTATACAGGGTGTTAATAAAGTCCGATCCCATTTTTCCTGTAAAAAAGTGAAGGCTAGTATAAAAAAAAACTACCCGTGATACTTACAAAAAATGTTCGACATATTTACCTTAGTATTTGGTCTTGTTACCATTTACTTTAACCATGCCCTCAACTCTTTGTTTAAGGCTCTGTGCTAATTTTTCCAATGTGCCTCTGGAAATCGAATTCCATACATCTTGAACTTTTTTTTACTAGCTCTTCCCTCGTCCGGGGTTGTGGCTCTTTGTATACATTTTCCTTAAGTATGGACCACTGGTTCTTCAGGGGATTCAAATCTGGGCCGTTAGCGGCCCACACCCCCTTGCTCCAGACCGTTGAAACTTGCGTCTTGATGAGACTCAAACTCGCTTTTGCTGTATGGGCTATAGCACCATCCTGCATGAAAACTATTTTTCTTTCATTCGGAAATATTTCCTTGTTCCCCATGCTATCGAAATAGATAGGTAATATTTTTTCCATATAATGCTTTGCATTGACTGATTTGCCTTTTGGTATGATATGTAGAGGGGTCACGCAACGTGCACAAAATCCACCCGCTACCATAACTTTAAGCCCGAATTTTGGGATCGCTCTTGATGGTACATCCGATTTGTTTTCTGTCCTGTAACGAACATTTTGTTGGTTCAATTTTGGATATAGTTCAATAATAGATTCGTCAGTTGAAAGGATGTGACTGCGCAATTCTTCACCAAGTCTTTTTTCACTCAAATGGGCACTTTTCTGAAGGAGTTCTTCAAATTTCAGACGGTCATCGATATATTTTTGTGACATGAGAGGTTTTTTTGGTTAGTTTGTAAGCTGTGTGACCCCACTTCGTAGTTTTCACAAATTTTTGCACGGTCACACAGTTAATTTGCTTCTTCTTCTCTTTATAGCGTTTTGAGTCATTTAACTCCCTTGCTCAATTACGTAATGAACTACCGGTTTTCTTGCAAAGTCTGTTTTTAATCATTCTTTTTGTGGTAGGTGACACCTTTCTGGGTCGCCCTGGTCGCTTTTTGTCGTGGACAAAATTTTTATTCTTCCATTTCCAAACCGTTCTGCGGCTGCAGCCCAATTTTTGCACAATTTCTGTAGGTTTAAGCCCCTGCTGATGCAATGTTTGTATCTCAACTCTAAGATGCTCATGACTTACACGTTTAGTTGTTCCTCCCATGGTAAAAATTTGAAATAAATAACTTCACTGGTTCAAAAGTTCCAGCTGAATTTGTAACAACCACGCTCCAAAAAATGCATGGGATCGGACTTTATTAACACCCTTTATGTTTATAAATTTGATGCTTAATTATGTCTGATGGTTATCTATTTGATTTTAGTGCTTTAATCCTGCAAACAATGACTTTAATTTTTAATTGAGTTTTTCGTATCCTATCACTGTGGTTTAACCAAGTTGTCTTATTCTTGTTATAATGCAAATGTTTAAGAATCTGTATTTTAACATACACAAACCTTATTTAGTAGAATGTTATTAAGCGAGAACCCCGAGGATAATTTTGCAAGGAAATAATTGTCATTGTAGTATTATTGATTTGTTATTTAATTCGTTACGATTTAATTTAACCTGTAATTCTATGGGCCATGAGCCTTGTAAGAATTGTCATGAATAATTATTATTATTATTATTATAACAATGTTCAAAAATTTCGAAACCCTGTTAAAACCGGGGGGCGCATTTGATTTCTGCATTAACGGCAGAAAACCACTTTCTATTTCACAGGAAAGACAATACTTATCGGAAAAAATATTGCTGATCAAATTACTGAATTCGTGTCTGTTTTGAATCGTGACGAATTGCAGGTTCTCGATCAGCCGGAAATAGCTCACAATCGCTGGCAGTTCAGTAATGAAGAGGTTAAAGCACTGATCCCCATTAAGTACAAAATGTACTACAACAGGATTAATCAAGCGGAATTTTCAAAATTGGATCAAGTCGGGCAGGACAAAGTTCGAGAAAAAATTCGGAACGGAATACATGCTCCGTATTTGATTGATGTAGAAAACGAGGGAGAAAACTATACCGTCGGTTCGGGAAAACGGGCCTGGTACTCTTATCACGCATTCACAATTAAAGGAGGAAAGAAGATGGTGGGAAATTAGGGTAAAAATTAAGGAATTGTGTGGTACTTCTACATAGATAAGGTCTCGTTAGTTTGTTATTTTGTGACACCTTCATCATTTTAAGTATTAAACTTCGAGAAAATTTTAACTTTAATTATAGTGAAATTTTTTAGCGAGATTGGAAAAATACGTTTTTGAAATAGAAAATATCTGTCATGTGTATTTGATACACTAATTGAATGTAATTGAAGTTGCTTCAAATTAGATACTTTAGTGACAACAAATATCTAGTCCAATTAGTATTTAAGATTATTACGATTTAAGAAATTAAGCAGTAAAAAGAAACTGCAAAAATACTTGTAAATATTCTAAGCAGATATATGGTTTGTAAGCACTAAATAAGAAATAGTTTATGCAATTCAATAACAACATCTTTGTTCGCTGATTTTTTAAGAATTGATGAAATGTAACCGTTATGTCATGCAATGATATAGATAAAGCTATATATATAAGCTGTATAGTTAAATTTTAGTGAATAAACCGTTACAACGCATGTAACCAAGGGGTGAAAGGAGTGTCATACGTCAATGTGAATATCAAATTGTTCGAAAATTTGTTAAGATTGACACTTCTGACGTGTTTTCGACTTTTGTGTCTTATTTGTGTCAAATTTAACAGTTGATAACCCTTATGTGACCTTTATATGACCTCTGAGGTCAAAATGGAGATCACCATTGAATTCGGGGTTAAATTTCAGTTGAAATTGAAATAGATATGTCCTATGACCTTTACATGACCTCTGAGGTCAAAATGGAGGTCACCATTGAATTTGACATTGAAAAATAGTTAAAAATGACGTGTCACATGTCACAACTGAAAAGAGACACTTTTTCGTCACTTTTCGTCACCGTGACGATGTCATCGTCACAGGTGACGTCCAAACACAAAATGACATGAATTTTCGAATTCCTCATTGAAAAATAGTTAAAAATGATGTGTCACATGTCAAAACTGACAAGTGACACTTTTTCGTCCCTTTTCGTCACTGTGACGACGTCATCGTCACAGGTGACGATGTCACAGTGTCCAACTTCGAACTCGTCCTGTCCATTGACGTTAGGAGTTTACGTTCAAAATTTCAAGTGTCTATGTCTTTTCGTTCAAAAGTTATCGGAGCTACGGACAGACGGACGGACGGACGGACGGACGGACAGACAGACAGACGGACATAACGATCTTATAAAGGGCTTTCACCCCTTAATAAATATGAGGAAAATCTATGTACAATGCTTAAACACGATTAAATATTTCTTGGATTTTGAATACCTTGAACAAATAATGCATTATGGACTTTTCTTTTTTATTCATTGGAGAATAAATTGTATATATTCGCAGAGTATGCATTATACATGTATTCCATTTTGTTTAAAAAAGCTAAATGACCATCGCTGCACAAAATTGTCCCCACCCTTTAAGGACAACTTAGTTCCTTCCTTTACATATTTGGTACACTTGTATGCAACACATAAAAGCCAATAGTTGGATAAATTTTATTTATATAGTATTATTATTTTCTGTAAAAGTAACTTGCTTCAGCAGACTCATGAATTGAGCATTTTGTGACAAAGTACCTAAAATTAAATAATAAATTTACGAATGAGTGAGGATGTAGATGAGATTCGGCTTGAAAATGGGAATGCTTGTGACCAACAACGTAGCGTACTTATGTAGACTAAATCCTATAGCAGGTGGATCACTTGGTGGTTAGTACAGCTACCTAGTCAAAAACAAGTTTAGAAATCTGAAATTATTGTTGAATAAGAATAAGGTAAATGTATACTGTCCCTAAAATTTCACAAGTTTTTCTCGAAAGAAAAATTTCCGATCCCATTTCAAAGCGAGTAAGTCGAGAAACGAACTTTTTGTAAGTACCAAAATCTGAGCGGGAAATACTCCAAGAAGGCCCGACTACATTTCAACGGAGAAAGGTGTGGCCGTGTAAAAATTAAGACATACATACAAAGGTATGGAGAATCCGAAAATGTAAACTACAAATGACCACCATTTGAAAAAACCATCATATCGACCCCTCAAAAGTTAAAAAAGATTAAATTTTCTTTTGAAAATTATCCATCCACGTCGGTGCCTGATGCGGCCATGAAGTCAAAGATGAATACAAACCACTTCTATCATATTAAGGCCTATAAAATAGGGGTCAGAGGGTATGCAAAGAAATCTCCAGCAAAACATACGGGAACTGAAGAAAAAGTGGTAACCGCACGACCTCCGAAGCTTTACAAAAAAAATCACCAAAAAAGTTGGTCATTCACGACCAGGCCTTAAATACGTGGCTGAAACTCCGGGGAGGCAATTTTTCATGGGAAATATATCTTACAACTGAAAACCGAAGAGAAATTAAAATGTTGTCGAAATTTCATAAAAAATCTCAGGTTTGGCTGGCGTTGGGTCTATTTGGGCATGTTTCAGACCCCTCAGTTTAGTTTGGCTGTGAGGATGCAGAGGTTTATTTTCAGAAATCTGTGATAAACGGTCTGATTCCTTTCATCAAAGAGTATCAGAAAATATACAATGTAATTTATTGGACCGACCACGGACCAATCCACAATCCAACAACTATCAAGTAAGAAATCGAAATTTGGGAGGGGATGGAGGTGGAATTATAAATGCCGAGTGATTTGGCGTTCTTTCTCCCCACTGGCTACCTACTTCAATACCAGAGAAAGGGTGAAGTCCTTGACTTCCAACCGACGGTATAAAATGAATGGACGGCGAGACTCGGCGTCACTATTCTCTCAACGTCAAAAGTTGTTGTTTGTTTAATGGCGACCAGGTCCAAAAAGAGCTTGTCTAACATATACCTTCCCGACCTCTTAATTAAAAAAAC